TTGTTATCACCTGGAGCCTGATTGTAGTAGTCGTTTCTCAAACATTTCATGATGAAAATATGTTTACATTAAAGATTGCAACATGTGTTAACAAATTCATCACTCTTATGCTTCTGTATCTTATGCAGTTCCGTTCCTCTAAAGATGACTAGAATTGTGACTTGCGCTGCAGAATTGGGGGAACAATGTTTGTTGTTACTCCATGTTATCAAGCTGGTGGAATCCATCCATGTTAACGATATGGAAGAACCATCCATGTTAACGATGTGGAAGAATGATCCGTATCACCCAGCTGGTGGTAACCATTCCTGTTAACAAGCTGTAATAGCATTTCATGTTAAAAAGCAAGAGGAACCATTACTGTTAACAAGCTGTTAACAAGGAACAAAGGTAGCAAGACAACTTTAAAGTTAACATGTATATAGCCTGGATGTTTTTCAGTTCGTAATGGCACAATGTTAACAGCGTAATCTCTAACCAAGTAACCATCAGTGTTAGAGTCTTGCTACTGTCTGAAACCTCATCCAGTGATACAGTGTACAAAGGTTTACAATGCTCTCACACTACAAGGTATTCAATGTAGACAAGGTATACAATATTATGCATATGTTAATATGTACCAAGATACAAAATACCCTTTGTTTCCATGTACCATGTTAGATTATTATGCATATATATATATGCATCATGATACATATCATGTGCCAAGACATATACTTTTCTTACAATGTCAATATGTGTCAAGCCATACATTTCTTATAATGTCAATATGTGTCAAGACATATACATTTTCTTATAATGTCAATATGTGTCAAGACATCCTTTGCTTACAATGTCAATAATGTGTCAAGACATATACTTTGCTTGTCAATGTCAATATGTGTCAAGACATATACTTTGCTTACAATGTCAATATGTGTCAAGACATATACTTTTCTTACAATGTCAATATGTGTCAAGACATATCCTTTGCTTGTAATGTCAATGTGTCAAGACATATCCTTTGCTTACAATGTCAATATGTGTCAAGACATATCCTTTGCTTAAAAGGTCAATATGTGTCAAGACATATACTTTTCTTACAATGTCAATATGTGTCAAGACATATACTTTGCTTGTAATGTCAATATGTGTCAAGACATATCCTTTGCTTGTAATGTCAATATGTGTCAAGACATATCCTTTGCTTACAATGTCAATATGTGTCAAGACATATACCTTTCTTACAATGTCAATATGTGTCAAGACACATGTGTCAAGACATATACTTTGCTTGTAATGTTAATATGTGTCAAGACGTATCCTTTGCTTACAATGTCAATATGTGTCAAGACATACTTTGCTTACAATGTCAATATGTATCAAGACATACTTTGCTTACAATGTCAATATGTGTCAAGACATATCCCTTACTTGTAATGTCAATATGTGTCAAGACATATCCTTTACTTGTAATGTCAATATGTGTCAAGACATATACTTTGTTACAATGTCAATAAGTGTCAAGACACAAGAAATTATGCTTACAATGTTAGTAATATGCATTGAAATACATATCAGTTTCTTAAAGTGTTAACACTGATCATGACACACATATGCTGCTTCCAACGTCAGTTTGTATAAAGACACATAGCCTGATGAAAGAGTAAGCACATACCCCAAAATGTCATGTTCCTCCAAATACAGAAGCTGCTAACATCCACAAATTTCACCCCTTTATGTATGCCACTTTTAAATGCCATTCAAAGTTACATATGCTAAGCTTACAATGTCAATGTGAACCATGACACATATAATTTCTTACAATGTCAATATGTGTCATGACACACATACTAAGCTTACATTCTTACAACTAATATGCATCATGACACATATTATGTTCTTACAGTATGAGTATGTGCCATGATGCATATGACTTACTATATTACAGTGTACAAAATACAGACAGATGTTAAAGGGTCTGGAACTTCAACACTACATGTAACGTATGGTAAAGGGTAAAATATGAGTACAGGAAAGTACAAAACATCAAGGCTGCCAGTGAATATGACACACCATTGACATCTGCCATGAACTTGGGATTTTACAGCATTTCAGTGCTATTTGTCATCATCAGTTGAGTTTGGATCTAATACTTGTGTTATATACAGGCACATCGGACTGTGGGTGACACCTGATACTGTCTACTCCAGCACCTGCAGATGTGGGTGACACCTGATACTGTCTATTCCAGCACCTGCAGATGTGGGTGACATCTGATACTGTCTACTCCAGCACCTGCAGATGTGGGTGACATCTGATACTGTCTACTCAAGCACCTGCAGATGTGGGTGACATCTAATACTGCCTACTCCAGCACCTGCAGATGTGGGTGACACCTGATACTGTCTATTCCAGCACCTGCAGATGTGGGTGACATCTGATACTGTCTACTCAAGCACCTGCAGATGTGGGTGACATCTGATACTGTCTACTCAAGCACCTGCAGATGTAAGTGACATCTGATACTGTCTACTCAAGCACCTGCAGATGTAGGTGACATCTGTTACTGCCTACTCAAGCACCTGCAGATGTGGATGACATCTGATACTGTCTACTCAAGCACCTGCAGATATTGGTGACATCTGATACTGTCTACTCAAGCACCTGCAGATATGGATGACATCCGATACAGTCAACTCAAGCACCTGCAGATGTGGGTGACATCTGATACGGTCAACTCAAGCACCTGCAGATATGGATGACACCTGATACTGTGCATACAAGCACATGCAGATGTGGGTGGTAGGCCATTCCACTCGCATGTCTTTGATGGCAGATGATGCAAATTTTACACGATGATACATTGATATCATGAGCCGGCAAGAACAGCACGATCACAACAACGACAGTATGATCACAACAATGGAAGCTATATGACACAGTTTTACCACTGATGCTGACTTACTCATCTGACTCTGTTTCAGTGGAAGAGTCAGTGAGTGAGTCGGCTTAATGCTGCTTTGAAGAGAATTTCAGATCAACATTCTGTGGAAGTTAAGTCAAAGCATCTTATATGGTTACAATTTTGGCAAAACCCACAAGTAAGGTGCTTATAGCTAAAAAGGGTTAAATGGTTTTAACTGAAATGACAGGGACGAAATCTACAGGCACGAAGAGCCATTACAAACTTCCATACACAAGCCGATTGACAAACATGTTTGATGGTGACTAAAATGAAATACACAAGAAATATCAATATGACGGTGTTGTATCTGACACAGGTGTAGTAGTTCACAGTCACGTACATGTTCTGATAACATTTACAATTTTTTGGTTATACTTGTTTTGGTTCCAGATTAACATGTAACCAAAAGGTATTTCCGTTTCTTATGTCATGACAATATGTCATTGAGCAATATATCAAAATGACTGATATAATACTGAAAGCCACTGTAACGCCATGTCACATTTCTGTATTACTTGACCGACAGATATGTCAACCTTCAGCCAAAAGGCTGCATCTTATTAGAATAATTCAAATAAACACTTCAAGAAGCTTTCTTTATACCATTTCTATACACCATATTGACTTTTTTCAGAAATGATACAATCACATACATTTGACCACATATGTGTTTGAAAATATCCCTGTAAATTATGTAATGAACACCAAGAAAACCTTACAAAGTATAGCACCATTACATAATAGCCAAATAGGATGGTTCAAGCAGTTTTTGTGAATAAACCAAATTAAAAGTAAATTGTGGAATAAGTTGTGATGTTGCCATTTATATGAATACAACACATATAACATGTCAACTAGTCGTGTAAAATGTCTACTCATTTACATGCAATCATATATTGCGTGCTGGATGGAAACAATTGCATATCATAGAAAGGTATTTCAATGATAAGTAGGATTTAATCTGCTACATGTGAGGAAGGCTTCCCAAAGATGTCATCATGTCATGGTTGAAAACAGTTAAAGTGGATGAAATCACAACCAAAACAATGAAATCTTTGTGAAGTAAATCCCAGGTGTATCAAACTAAAACACCATGAACAGCCCCTAATGAACATCTTTGAAGAAAAGTCTGTGATGAACATGCTCTGATGAACATCCCCTGATGAAAATCTTTGAAGAACATTCTCTGATGAACATCCTCTAATATACATCCCCTGATGAACACCCTCTGATCTGAACATCTCTGAAAATATCCTCAGAAGAACATCCTCAGATGAAGATCTTCAGAAGAACATTCCCTGAAGAACAACTTCAGCAGATCCTCTTCAGAAGAATATCCCCTGATAAACATCTTTGAAGAACATCCTCTGATGAACATCTTCAGAAAAACATCTTCAGAAGAATATCCCCTGATAAACATCTTTGAAGAATATCCTCTGATGAACATCTTCAGAGAAAACATCTTCTGATGAACATTTGTAGAGTGTTCTCCAATGAACATCCTTTGATGAACATCAGATGACAGACAGACAACAGATTGGAAGAACTATATAGATTTTGAATGGATGTGAGAAGTGGATGTTGCCATTGGTGTCTCAATAGCAATGTAATCCTGGATCCATTGACATCCAAGCTACCATAAATAATGCTAAACCTGCAATACTAAATTCACTCCCAGTAATGCTGTACACTGGACTGACCAGATGAACATTGAGCTCTAGGGAACATGATTGATTAATGAAGACATCCACTTTATGGATAAATGAAATTCATTTAGGTGATCCTGTTGTATTAGGGGACAAAAAACAATATTCTAACAGAAAAATAATCAGTATTCACAAAATAATGAAAGACATGGGAAAATCCATCATTAACATTTTTTCCAGATCTACCCTTGTCAAGAGTATCTTCCAAGCACATGTTTTAAAAATTATAGGAAATATTCATATTAAAGAAAACCAATTGTCCAAAGAGTTCAAATAGTTTCAAAAGCCTTTACTCTTAGAATTAACAATGACTATTATTTATTGTCAATTACCATTTTTTTTGCCAGTGGACTAAATATTTAAAAGTGAAAACATTTACCGTATTAATTGCCCTATCATTAGTAAAACAAGACACACGAGGGTTGATGGTACTACCACGGAACTACTGCCTTCAGTGTCTTTCTTGGCAGGTATTGATCTGCTCTCATCCGCGTTGCCAGTGATGTATGGGGTTTCTACACGATTCTCATCCGTATCAATATCGACGTTATTATTGTCATCGACGTTCTTCACTTCCATATCCGTATCAGCTCCGTACACTGTGTGGACCTTATCTTCGTTGTATCGTGGCTTCTCCTTCCTGTGTTTCTTTCCCTTCCTGTCCTTATGTTTCTTGTTCTTTTGTCTCTTTGAGCCGCCATCAGAATGACCGACATCCTTGTCCTTCTTGGACTTCTTCCTATGTCCGCCACTGGCACTGCTGCCGAAGGGGATTGTAGTTTCATCTACAGTGAAACCTGCTTCTGTTACGGTGTCCAAATCTGGCATGTCATCAGCTCTACCTGTAATACAAATCAGATATATTGGTGTGAGACAATCTGGCATTTCTTATATGCTTCTGTGTTTGGGACCCAATTTCTTTAAAATGTTTACAATTTCGACTTCTACCGTATAAGTTTTCATGTTTTGGTAACAGATTAACTCACACGATTGGTTGATATTGAAAGTAACAGCCTGGCACTACTACTCACACAACTTCTTTTATTACTGCAGCTACTACTACTACCACCACCACTACTTCGATGACTAGTACTACTATAATTACTTCTACCACTACTACTACTTCTACTACTACTATAGTCCGTTTGGCTCAAAATCGGACCGATGAATTGCAATCTAACCCGAAAACTACTAAACATATAATACTCAATGAAACACAGATCATAATCAAAACATCAGACCAACTCTGTGATTTTTGTGCAAAATTTGGTCCTAAAAATTAAAAAGTTGTTTAACAAACTATCATTAAACTATGACACAGTTCACTATTTGTTACGAGTGAGGGGTGCAAAGAGAGGAACAGCCGGGTGTGGGGGAAAGAATGGAGACGGCACAGCACAGGTTAATGAATCAATGACTTTGTCTGCACTGTGCTGGCTGTTCCTCTCTTTGCAGTCCTCCCTCGTAACAAATAGAGAACTGTGTCAAAATGATAGTTTGTTAAACAACTTTTTTATATTTAGGACATAAATTCTGCAAAACAATCACAGAGTCGGTCTGATGTTTTGATCATGATCAGTGTTTCATTGAGTATTCTATGTTTAGTTGCTTTCGAGTGAGATTGCAATTCATCAGTCCGATTTTGAGCCAAACGGACTATACTACAACTACTGCTTATACTACAACCATAACTACTACGGCTACTACAACTACCACCACTACATCCAGTTTAGAGACATTTCAGAAGGAGATGGTTACATTACTGGTACATCCAAAAACTATTAACACTGGATCATTTTCACAGTTTCTAAACTATTCATCAGAAGGCTTATCTAATAATTATTTTAATGTTGCAACAGTTTGTTCAGGAGACTAACAACACCAAACATGATATGCATGCCATAGGATTTTAACAATCCCTTAATCCACTGACAACTCATGATGGAATCCAAATCCGACGGACCTGAATAAACAGATTCCACAATGCATCAATCTTCTATTAAACTGACTTTCATTTCAACTTTCATGCATTGTGTATTTTGCACATTCACAACCTTAATCTCAAGATAAATTTCTTGAATACGTTTCCACGTACCTTCGACCATGACATCTTTTCGATCATCTCCATGTGGGTTGGTGGCGACACAGGTGTAGTAGTAGGATGCTTTGCTGCCAACCTTCTTGATGTGGAGACGCAGTTCAATGGTGCTGTTGCCAGATGTAGTTGATGTCAATGTGGTGGTTGTTATCATTCTTTATCTCAATACCATTTTCCATCCACATTGCAATGCCTTGTGGGAAGGAAGTTATCTGACACTTGAGAACCTTCCCTTCATCATCTTCATCCTCATCATCTTCGTCCATATCATCAACAAGGGTGACGGTTGGAGGGTCTAGTAGCAAAATATGTCAGAAGTTTTTAATCATGATATTTAAATTGTTATGATTTATATTTATTTTCCTTGTGCCTATAAATGTATTGTCCAAATAGTGCTGTTAGTTTTAATTTTCCACACTAGTTTTACTTGTAATTGTGATATTCTAGTTGTTTTACTGTCCTTCGTCGACAGGTTTTTATGGTATACATCTGTTCCATTTCAATGTGAAATGTGTTCTCGTCACGATATGGCTGAAATATTGCCGATGTGATGTTAAATAATAACTCACTCTCTCACTCCTTGTGCCTATATCAGGTACTTTGAGTCCTTTTGGAACTGGATTAAATATTCAGGAGCTGAAAATCTTGTTGATGCAGCAAACGGGACGATATGCTGTGAAACATTACAAAACGTCAGCTGGCTAGATGTATACTTACATTCAACTGTCACAGAGATGAGGTGTGAGTTGGGACTGACCATTGACTCAAAGCCGTTTGTGGCCACACACTTGTAGACTCCCTTGTCCATCTTGGACACTGATGGGAACACAAGCTCCTGGCCTTCTGACACTGTCACAGAAACACATCAGAACATAAGGATGAGGAAGACTTCCTCCTTGATAAGGACCACCTCATGCTAAGGAGCAGCACATGACTGGGTATACAAGTATGGGTAGCTTTACCTTATAATAAATAATAATCAAATTCATACAATTACAAATATGGCAGAACAAGATGAAGCCTTTGGTGAAGTAATTCAACCCTAAAGAAATATACATCGGAATATATTCTTAAGAGGGTAATGAACTGGTCTCTCAGTCCGTGGCCACCAGCATAGATCCAGATAATGTGTAAGTATGTTTGTCATTGAATGCCACACTCAGCAGCATTTCAGCATTATAACAGTGGTCTGTATATACCATACATTGCTGTCTCTAAACCGACGACCCCGTATAAGGTGAGCCCCTGAAAATGAATTTATCATTCTTCAAAAGATTGCCATTGTCAGTGGTGTAGCCCAATGGTCTCTCTGGATCTCATGAAATTAAAGATTTTGTTCCAGTAAAAAACCAAAACTTTTGTATATTGTTGAATACTGCGCACAGCTATTTTGCAGGTATACATGTAAATATTGAGTCTGGACCAGACAGTCACTTCAAGATACCGCTTCTTACCATACACATAATAAACTCACCCAGATCCTCTCTCGGGGCTTCAAGTGGCTTGACATCCATGTTTTCAGTCAATTTGTACCAGGAGACGACAGGTGCTGGTACACCCAACACATCGCAGGTCAAGGTCAAGGACGTCCCTTCAACCACTGATGTGTCAGGAGAAGACAACTCGGACCGCACCACAGCAGGACCTAACAACAGCAGTAAGATGAGATTCGAAAAGTTACGGTTTTGAATATATCGTCAGCCATCTTAAATGATTAGAACATCTTACACACTTCAGTGTATTAGGCGGAAAACAATGTGTTGATGTTGTTAGAATTTACGAGTCTCTTATTAAACCCCTAGTCACGACCTTTCAGCACCTAAGTCAGCTTCCAATGTATGTTCAAAACATTACATTCTTCTGCCACATACAGTTATAGATAAGGGGTCATGTGGCCTTCAGCCTCTCAGCTGGTGACTACAGACTACTTGAAGGACAAAAGCAGTATAGCATAATACATAATAATACATAATAATTTTGTTTGGTACATAAGGCCATTTTTGCATTGCTGAGAGCATGTGCAATGAATTTCTTTGGGGAAACTTAACAGTATGAAAAGTATATAACAGTAATGAAAAATTTCTGATAAAAGTATTACAGTATTTTTATCGATATGACCTGGTGGTTTGTTTACAAAAACAGTAATTTCCTCCCGGCTTAACAATTTGTCTGTCTCACCTAAAACTTTCCAAAATATTTTTCATCCTTTTGCCCATTTTGTCCAGCCTTAAATCTACTGTAGGATTACCTACCAATTCACATGGCCACATGAAAAAGAAATTAATTCAAAAGATCAAAAATTCATAATTGTTTTGTCATAGTTGCCTTTAATTTATTTAGTAAAGGCAAGTAAACCAGTGGTTGATAGTATGAGCAAACCATGATGGTATTATGGCCAGGTCATACAACAAGACCATTGTATCTTCTTTTAATACTTTTTCCCTGCACAAAAAAAATGGTCAAGGACTTGAAACAGGTTGTGGAGCTGCTATACACTCTAGCTATAAGATGGACTCACTGTTGAGTGTCAAAGACTCTTCATCAGTTCCTAAAGAATTGACAGCCCGACAGGTGTACTCCCCGAAGTCTTCAGTTCTCAGGTCATGGATGTCTAACGTCAGTGTAAACAGCTTTTCCTCGTTGCGCATCTCAGCCTTGTACTTGGCGTTGTACTCGACCTTCGTGTTGCCTCTGTACCACATGACGTCCCCGAGAGGCTTGGTGACAACCTGACACTCCAGCCTTGTCTCCTGGCCCATCTCCTGAACCACCATCTCTCCCTGTACAGTCACCTCTGGAAGAACTGAGGGAAATATTAAGAAGACATTTTTTAAACATTTTTGTCAGGTAAAGTACCTCTTTTTTAGATACAATCTGTGCTTGGGAGTGAAAGGTGGTGATTCATTCAATGTATTACACAATGGTTAATACTTTACATGTTTTTACCCTGCTTGTACTTGGCATCAAAGGCATGAAGGAAGGACTTGATGGGTCAGCAATATCTAACTTTTCAGGGCGGTGGGGTAGCCTAGTGGTTAAAGCGTTGGCTCGTCACGCTGAAGACCCGGGTTCGAATCCCCACATGGGTACAATGTGTGAAGCCCATTTCTGGTGTCCCCCGTCGTGATGTTGCTGGAATATTGCTAAAAGCGGCGTAAAACCAAACTCAGTCAGTCTAACTTTTCAACTTTGGTGTCAGTGAGTGAGTAAGTATGATTTTATGTTGCTTTCGGCAATATTCCTGCAATATTGTGGAAATAGGCTTCACACATTGTACCCATGTGGGAGATTGAACCCGGGTCTTCAGCCAGACGAGCGTATGCTTTAACCATTAGGCTACCCCACTACCCCTGTGTCAATGAGATTGGTCTAGTCATTGCATGGTATTTGTGAGAAAAATAATATGTTAACTGTGAGACCATCCTAAGTCCTTCATGAATCCCAGTTTTGATTTCCCTGGTACATTTTGTCAAGCCCACTCTGTCTCCTATTTACCTCACTCCAACACTCAACAACATCTTCCCTTCCCTCTCACCACTCACTCCCTTCTCTCTCTCATTTCTTTCTTTCACTCAATACCATGCACTAAAATCAAGATCCTGTTCAGCCAGCTTACATTCAACAACGACCGTCATCTTCATCCTAGACGTCTCGCCATATTCATTGCGAGCCTGACAGTAGAAGTCTCCATCGCAGTCCCGCCTCACGCTGGTCAGATTCAAGTACTGTCCTGTGTGATTCACACCTGTAGACAAACAACACCTGTATTAGGACAAACATGTTAACAAACATCTGAGGACAACACTGTCTCTTCTCGTTCAATACCCGTAAAGGTCCAGGAACCTTCAGTAATCCATGCTGGTCGTAAGAGGCGACTAACGGGATCGGGTGGTCAGGCTCGCTGGATTGGTTGACACATGTCATCGGTTCCCAATTGCGCAGATCAATGCTCATGCTGTTAATCACTGGAGTGTCCGGTCCAGACTCGATTATTTACAGACTGCTGCCATATAGCTGGAATATTGCTGTGTGCGGCGTAAAACTAAACTCACTCACTCGTTCAGACATACGCCGCCATACACCATGCAGGACCCACATTCAGTCTCTTCAGCATGACATGAGCTCTTACTTCACCAATACAAGTGTCACGTGTCCTCTTCACCAAAAACATCAAATGATTCAATGCCTAATTATCCACAATTACTCATTACTTTTACACAGACTATTACATTTACTTGTGCATCATTGTAATAAGTGAAAAAGAATTTGTTTTATGTCCTAATAAAAACAGGATCAATGTAAGCAATTTCTTTAGTATCCACACTTGATAATCAGGAATAAGCATTACAGTACAACGTGGTTATAGGGTGTGGATATGACATGCTAATGGCTATAACAAACTATTTCAAAAGTCCAGTGTCCAGACTCCTTAGTATATATTTAGAAGATAAAGCTACTCTGTTTTCAATTTTGCGGTCCTTTATCGTTGATTTAAGACCGCTAAATGTAATTTAAAAACCGAACGCGTTCTGCCGAGGTAGAAGTCTCCGATGTCAGACATGTTTGTTTACAAACAATAGGGTCAACGAGTTCGGTGAATCGGTCACTTTAATTAGCGGTACTTAAACTGTCATTTAAGTATGGTTTTGATGAGCTCTCAGCCAATCAGAATCGAGTATCACACATTGTCGTGCTAGAATATTGTTTAAAATGAGTCACAAATTCTGTTTAACAAACTTTTGTCTTTAGAGAACTGATTTTTCACCCAAAACTGATTATATAAATGTATTTTCATTCATGACTAGTGAGTGAGTGAGTGAGTTTAGTTTTACGCCGCACTCAGCAATATTCCAGCTATATGGCGGCGGTCTGTAAATAATCGAGTCTGGACCAGACAATCCAGTGATCAACAGCATGAGCATCGATCTGCTCAATTGGGAACCGATGACATGTGTCAACCAAGTCAGCGAAACCGACCAACCGATCCCGTTAGTCGCCTCTTACGACAAGATAGTCGCCTTTTTATGGCAAGCACATGGTTTGCTGAAGACCTATTCTACCCCGGATCTTCACGGGTCCCATCATTCATGACTAACGAGCATGGTAAAAGTTAATCAGTATCAGTTAGTTGAGAACCCATATTGTTTGTTTGTTTGCTTAATGCCACACTCAGCAATATTCCAGCTACATGGCAGTGACCTGGACACAATCTGGTCTGGACCAGACAATCCAGTGAGTAACAGCATGAGCATTGATCTACACAAATATTATACAATGATATGTGTCAATCAAGTCAGCAAGCCTGACCACCCGATCCTGTTAGACGCCTCTTATGACAAGCATGGGCTACTGAAGACCAGGAAGTGGATAAAGCATATTATTGTTGTTGTTACCTATTAGACTGCAGTTGTTGCCCTCGCCCACCGACCACAAGACCTGGGGGGTAGGTATTCCTCCAGCCACACACTCCAACATGGTATTCTGACCCTCTTCAACACGGATGCTGTCCGAAGTGGACACCATATAGGCAGGCACTGTAATCAATCAAAATCAGATATTTTAATATTTTGAATTGTGGATTTGATCAAACATTCACAGGTATAATCATAAAATAACATTTTGGTTTGTTTCATCAGTCTAACTACTCTATATTATATCTATCAGAAATAGACATGACTGGGTGTCTAGAAGTAAAATTAACTGATAATATCAGTGTTTGAAATAAGACCCGTCCGACTACCTGAGACGATCTAGATTTCTGACGGATGGTTTAAATTTACAACTAGCCAGCCCGATGGTCTGGTAAAAATTTAGATGTTTAATACATCTGAATAAATTCACCATATTTGGTCTGGTTAAATCCATTTTGGGCTGGTAACATTTTGAAGTTACCGGCCCTGATGTCTGGCTGGACTTTTGGCTTATTTCATTCACTGATAATATGATGAATTTTTTTGCGAGTAATTGAATCCAAATGTGACACATCACTTTAAACTGAGGCAACTTGTTTACATGTCCTCTGCCCTAGTAATGTATTCTATGGCATCGTGCATCGTGCAGGCAAAATAGGCTTGGTGGTAGCCCAGTGGTTCATGTGTTCTCTAGGCATGCCAGATACTGAGGTTTGATTCCCCATGTGTACAATGTGTGAATCCACAAACCTTAATGTATATATTACGTCTGTCGTATAAAACATATTTCTGGTGTCAACTATTATATCGCTAGGATATGACTAAAAACAGCATACAACTCAACTCCCTCACTCACCTACTACTGACAGTGTAACTTGTTTACTGATGTTGTGCGTATCTATGGCAACCTGGCAGGTGTAGACACCAGCATCGGATTCCATCACCTCCCCCAATACCAGATCCCATTGCTCGTCGGTAGAGTGCTCTACACTCAGATTTGTGTCATTACCATCAAGAACATCTGTGCCAACGGTCAGTACGCCCTCACTGTTTGTCCAGCTTACCTGGATAAAAAATATCATTCAAATATATTTGACAGATAAACATTTTTATGGCTTAATGTCATAAACAATAATTGATTCTTATATTCAGCAGAGATTAAATGGATAGAGTTTGGTATTCAAGGTGAATTATTCTTGTGAGTACCTCACCGAGATATTCTGTTGCTTCTGATCACATCGCTTGTAATTAAGGTATTGTATCTAGAAATAGCTGACATAACCACAAACTAGATCTCACCGTCCTGGAGTCCAGATCTTTCACAGCACATGGCAAGATGGCTGACTCGCCCTCCTCTACTACCACAGTAGACACGGACTGGCTGATCCGTGGCAATGTTGGCTGCATCTCTGTATAACATAAAGCATGTATGTAAGCATATCTATGTCTTGAACAGACATGCACAGTATGTCTCTGTCATGGGTACTGACATTACCCTTGTCTATTTCATGCCTTTACGACCCGTGAAGATCCGGGTTGAGTTGAGCACTACCACAAAATTCAGTTGAAGCCAAACTTGTTGGCATGGAAACACAAAAAATATTTTATGCAGAATTCCAAAACTACCAAAAGGCACCAGTGCACCACAAGATCTATCTATGTGCCAAGTTTGGTGAAGAAATAGTGAACAGTTTTGAAGTTCTAGTACAGCTGCTCTGGAAAAGACAAATGTGCACAGACGCACGGACGGACGGACACTTTTTAATACCCCCTGCAAAACGTGTTGGGGGGGGGGGGGAACTAACGGGATTGGGTGGTCAGGCTCGCTGACTTGGTTGATAAATGTCATCATATTCCAATTGCGTAGATTGATGTTCATACTGTTGATCACTGGATTGTCTGGTCCAGACTTGATTATTTACAGATCACCGCCATATAGATGGAATATTCCTGAGTGCGGCATTAAACAATAACCAAACCAATTTATACCTTTATAATATACAGTAGATTGGTTTCATGACTTTTAATACACATACCCTTTGTCTGTGTCACTTTAAATATTTAGGTATCAGTTGTCTATTTCATTACTTGTCATATTGTCGCTCTTTCATAACTAAAAGATACACTATAAAGTTATCTAATACCTTATAATAAACTGGACATTTATTTCATAACTTATATGACCCGTGAAGAACCGGGGTAAAATAGGTCTTCAGCAACCCATGCTTGCCACAAAAGGCGACTATGCTTGTCGTAAGAGGCGACTAACGGGATCGGGTGGTCAGGCTCGCTGACTTTGTTGACACATGTCATCGGTTCCCAATAGTGCAGATCGATGCTCATGCTGTTGATCACTGGATTGTCTGGTCCAGACTCGATTATATACAGACCGCCACCATATAGCTGGAATATTGCTGAGTGCGGCATAAAACCAAACTGACTCACTCACTCATAACTTATATATATATATACACTTTAAAATTGTTTATTAACTTACATGTACACTTCAAATTTACTGCATGACTTACATATACACTGTAAATTTATTTCTTAACTTATATATATATATATACATACACTTTACATGGCTTAAATATATCACTTTAAATTTATCACATGACTTTTGCATACATATAACCATTATCTATTTCATCATTTGAACACACCAAGATCATAAACATGCAAGGTTAATTGTACAAAAGGATATTCAGTTTCAGAGCCCAGTGAATTAAAATCTACATTTTCAAACAAGTCCTAGTTATAGAATTATGTCTGTTTGTAAATCTTGAAGTTCCAGGCAATGATCGGACGTCATGGTTTCCTGACAAAATGAGTGAGTGAGTATAGTTTCACACTGCCTTTAGCAATATTCCAGACACCAGAAATGGGCTTCACACATTGTATCCATGTGGGGAATCAAACCCGGTCTTCGGTGTGACGAGTGAACGCTTTAACCACTAGGCTACCCCACCGCCCCCACAATAAATGAACTGAAAATGTGAGAAAACAGTGCAATACAAACCATACAACTTCATGGACTTCTCATCATATCCAAATGCATTCGATGCTGCACACGTGTAGTTGCCAAAGTCATCATCCTGAAGATCGTCGATACGCAGCAACAAGGCATATGAATAACCTCCTTCATCAAACAATTCCTGGCTGAATCGGCGCTCCGAGTCTACTTCCACCTTGTACCCGTTCCTGTACCACGTGGTTGTCTCAAAGGGGTTCATGTCGATGAGGCACTCCAAGATGGCCGATTTGCCAGCTATCTGCGATATCCTTTCGCTCATAATCCTGACCTGAGGCTTCACTGCAACAAAACTTCAGGCTACAGACCTGTTTACACATATATTGTTTGGTTAAATATTTCCAACTAAGCTTAGCAGTGCTTATTTTATGCCCCTAATGCCAAGAGTGAGTGACTGAGTTTAGTGTAATGTCGCTTTTAGCAATATTCCAGCAATATCACAGCGGGGGACACCGCTGAATCAGATGGATCAGAAAATCTGAAACAAATTGGGGTTTCGTTAACTGTAGATTCAGAGAAGAAGTTTACATTTCGAGAGAACATGTTCAAAGTCCGAGAGTAGAGACAAAGTTCTACTATCAAATATTACGATAAGGAAAATATGTGTGCCACTACAGCGACACAAGTTGGACAAATGAGCAGTCTCATTATGAACCACATTATTTGCCCTACTGCGTAGCCCTTCCTGCAATGTTGAAGCCATAAATGAAGCAAGTCTAGACTTCCTCAGGTTCTGAATCTCCTTCTCACTGGGGCTCCTTTTCAATTTAAATGGTATTATTTGTTTCTATAACAATTATACATATTCAATCTAAGCATTAGTCTAATGAGCCCAGACAAGAGGTCACTTGACTTTTACTCAGGTGGGCTGAATATCTGGTCATAGTCTCATCTACTGAGTTGCTGCTTGTGATGTTAGATTCTCACCTCCGACTGTCAGCATCATGGTGAGACGGACTGCAGGGGGGATTTCATTATATGCAATACACTCATAGCCACCACTGCAGTTGACTGCAGCTCTAGGTACACGCAGGATCTCGCCAAACTCTCCCGAAACTGAAATAAGCATAAACATGGAAACTTGTGTTTAAAGTTTACAAGTAATGGCTGACTGGGAATATGCAATAGTTGTTTCAAACCAATATGCCAGCAATATCACCACAGCCTGATCTAGTCTGGACTAGACGAGCACGAGATTGATATTATAAGCAACATGCTAGCCGAACAATGATCCAAATCAGAAAGTGACTGAGGTTTCATTTGGTTCTGTCCTACTACAAGCGAAGGCTACTGGGGACCTTTTCTCTCTGGATTCTCCACCAGGGTTTATGTAAATTTGAACCAAATTGTGGTTCTATTATAGGTCCGCAACAGTAAGTGTGAGTGAGTGAGTTAATATTTAACGTCTCATCAGCTTTATTTCAGCATATAGTGAATAGATCAAGTTCACACAAGTCCATTATGAACATGTCACATTTGAAAGCAGTTTCTGAATTTACACATATTAACATTATAATATTATTTATAATTTAGAACACAGGCTTTAAAAAAAGGTCCACAACAGGCTATTGTTGGTCGTATGATGTGATGAAATAGCTTGGTTTGTCATAAAATCTGAAGTAAAGGACAAGACAACGAACTAGACCTTCGACTACCATCTGATTTCACATAGGGATTATACAAGTGCTACGACTGTAACGGTCAGAAGTCATCTCCGTCACGACAAGCATGGGCTAACTCTGACTGTCATTCCCGCTGTGGGTTAACAATAACTTATGGTAATTGTAGCCCAACAACTATTTTGTGGAACAGGATCTGCTGATCATCTGGTCCCATATGGTCAAGACTGGAGGGTTATTGCTGTACTTACAGATTGTTCCTTTACAAAGTGCTGCCGATTCCTCTCTCCTCCATGTCACCTTGGGAAGGGGGTCACCGGTGACGTTGCACACAAGCTCCGCATCCTCGCCTTCCTGGACGATGACGTCATTGTTTTCGCTGTCGATGATCCTTGCTGGAGCTGGAGAACATAGTAAGATGAGTTAGAGACTGTTCTCAACAACTGTGAGATATTTACAGTAAATGGTGAGATATTTACAGTAAATGGTGAGATATTTAGTGTCAATTGTGAGATATTTCCACTGAAATGTGAGAAGGTTCTAATGAATTCTGTAATGTATACATTGAATGTGAAATATGTACACTGATTTTTTAGACATTTACACTGAACTGAGAGTTTTGTGACATCATACATTCTCGGATGGCGGTGTTTACCCGCTCAATTACGCGGTGTGCTGCATCATAGCAAACGTAAGTACTCAGCTGATGATCGACATGTCTTTATGACAAAGTTAATTACGATGTTTCGCTGTTCATCTATTATTATTGAAAAAACCCTGCATGTTTTAAGCATCTGAAACGATAAACACTGTTAATTGCAATCCGCACAGAATTTCACTAGTTTACAACGTGATTAACCAGAGCTCAACAGCAGATTCGTTGATGTGCTATTTTTGATGACGTGAATATGTGTGCAACTTTTTTTATGGGAGCCATGGATTACCCCGCGGTTTAACCAAATCCGCGGTATCGCGAAGAGCGTTATTGCGAGAGATGACTGTATTTTATTCAGAATTGTGAGATTTAAACACTCATTTTTAAGATGTTCAGAATGAATTTTATTATACACTGTAAAATTGTATGCTGAATTGTGAGATAATTACACTGAATTTTGTGATATTAACACTGAATTGAGATATTTACACTGATTTTTGAGATAATCACACTGAATTGTGAGATAACTACTCTGTATTTAGAAATATTTACACTGAACTGAGAGATAACTACACTGAATTGTGAGATATTTACACTGAATTGAGATAATCACACTGAATTGTGAGATATTTACACTGAATTGTGAGATAACTACTCTGTATTTAGAAATATTTACACTGAACTGTGAGATAATCACACTGAACTGTGAGATATTCACACTGAACTGTGAGATAATTACACTGAATTGTGAGATATTTACACTGAATTGAGATAATCACACTGAATTGTGAGATATTTACACTGAATTGTGAGATAACTACTCTGTATTTAGAAATATTTACACTGAATTGTGAGATAATCACACTGAACTGTGAGATATTCACACTGAACTGTGAGATAATTACACTGAATTGTGAGATATTTTGGGAGCCACACTGAATTGAGATATTTACACTGAATTGATATATATTTACATCTTTTTGATTGATACTAACACACAACAAACCATGAGATTTTGAACACTGAACCATGAAATACTTTAACTGAACCGAGGTATTTCGACCTGTACTAACATATTTTATTCTGCATTATGAGATAAGAAAATGTATCTAAGAAGTACTGAGATACCTCACAGAAATGTGAGATAGTTAACTGGATAGTTTCACTAAATGAATGAGATACTTACATTGAACAGTGAGATAGACATAGCGAGAGAGACGACGGTTGGTGTTGACCTGACAAGTATACAAGCCTTCATCGTCCACATTTACATTCTCAATGTGCAGGTTCCAGTCTTTGTGGTAGGGTTTGTCAATCCTGAACCGTTTGTCTTTAGTGGTGCGACGAGAGCGATATGTGAGCAGCTTCTGTTCCTTGCCTCCAGTCCATACAACCTGGCAAAATGTGAAGCAAAGTGTGACGCAAATTGTAAAACTGCTTCACCTGAGTGATTACAGGCATAACTCCCACAGACCACCTGGGGCTATCTAGTTCACAGTAAAGGGAATCTTAGTAATACATTACTGCTTAATCTGAATGACTAGATACCTCCTTGGGATCTACAGTCTAGTGGACTCTCAGAAACTCATCTTGTGCTAGAAGGCTAGACTAACACTAAGTCTCTGAATATACATAATTTTGACAGTAACAAATATACAAATTCCATTTAAATTGAAAAGGAGCCCCAGTAAGATGGGAGATCCTGAACCTGAGGAATTCTAGACTTGCTTCATCTAGGGCTTTAGCATTGCAGGGAGGGCTACACAGAAGGGAAAATAATGGGGTTCAGGGACTGTGAGATAGACCCGTTGAAGGCATGAACTGAGGGGTCTTAGGCTGCCAACACATGGAACACTTCACTAGATATAAATATTTTTCACTGTTGTTGGGAGGATAAGATATAGGGATGAACCACCTCTTTATTACAATTAGGAGTGATGATTCCATCTAGGTTCAAACACTGTTATCAAGCAGGTTATCATTACTGCTTGATAACAGCTTTAGAATCACCACTGACATGTTGCTCCTAATAGTAATAGAGGTTGTTCATCTATATATCTTATCCTTTCTCAGTACTCCAACTTCTCAAAGTCTCTCAAAGACGTTACTGTTGCCATATCTCTGCACATCCTAAGAAGCCTTAAAACTATTAACAGATTTCAGTGATAGATTTCCAGAACAGAAAGGTCAGTAATCTGTAACATTTAATTTTCAAAAACTTAACTATTCAAACAGTTATGCTTTTTTGCATCCAAAGGACTCATAAAAGTATATCATTTACATCCATTCTCAATTTGTATACATAAAGGATGTAATACTTTGTGAACCTTGATCACCCTACAAAATGGAGAAATGGGAAGGCTGAATTTAAATAGAAAAGGAATTCACTCGGGAATCTCAATTCATTTTTAAAATTTATATTTTTGATAAACACAGTATTCTAGTTATATGATTATGGTTTGTGAATAGTCAATTCCGGACCAGGCAAACCAATGATCAATATCATAAACATCATCCCAAAGCACTGGGTATGATGCATGCAAGCAACAAATATCATATAACCTGAGGTGAAGAGGTGAGGTGAGGTGAGGTGAGGTGAGGTGAGGGTGAGGTGAGGTGAAATTGAGTTTTACATCGTGCTTGAGAATATTTCGCTCATATGACGACATGCATGCATATGTATGTGTATGTGCGGCTGCTTGTACCAGCCAAGACTTAAACTGGTTTTATAGTGCTAACCCACTGAGATACCATGCCGCAGTGAAGCATGAATACCCCACTCAGACACATTGTACTGACTCCAAGCCGACCAGTCCTTGTTGTACCCAGTAATGCCGAACGCCAGGCAGGGACCAACAAGTACCATATTTTAACATCTTTTGGCATGACGTGGTCGGGGATCGAACCCGCGGCCTTCCGCTCTCCAGGCGGACGCTCTAACCACTACACCACGGAGGCAGTCCATATAACCTGAGCATTGGAACCATTTAGTCACCTTGTACAACAACTAGGGGATCAATTGGGATCAATTATTTGAATCCCCAAATCGTCTTCAATAATTAAGTCGTCTCTACTCCCTACAGGGGCAGGTGCTGTGGAGTGGTCAGTTACCTGATATGATCCCAGATTCTTCACTCCACATGGAAGCACTGCTGTAGTTCCGGCTATTACGGTCAAGTTCTCAGACGGTTGTTCAAACATCGGTCCCGAAGATGGTGAATCAGCTGAAACGAAAGAGCTGTCTTGTGAAGCAGTCGTAAAATCATTCACAGAAACCAATTTGACATAATACCTCTATATCTTAAACTGAAGTATTGTCACTCTAAAATCAATCAACAGAGAGGTATAGTTTATCTTGCCCCTTTGATTACAAAGTTTAGGCAAGAAGTATTTGTGGTCATGTTACAATCAGATCTGAGCGTAATAAAGAAAACAATAGCTGAGCACCTTGATACCAAACATAGTGAGTGAGTGAGTTTGGTTTTACGCCGCTTTTAGCAATATTCCAGCAATATCACGGCGGGAGACACCAGAAATGGGCTTAACACATTGTACCCATGTGGGGAATCGAACCCGGGTCTTTGGCGTGACGAGCGAACGCCTTAACCACTAGGCTACCCACCGCCCCGATACCAAACATAAGCCACACAGGCTTTGTAGTTTTAGAGACATCACAAATGCTGTTTATTTGTCTGTTGTTTAACGCCGCACTCAGCAATATTCCAGCTATATGGCAGCAGTCTGTAAATAATCAAGTCTGGACCAGACAATTCAGTGATCAACAGCATGAGCATCGATCTACGCAATTGGGATAGGATGACATGTGTCAACACATGTGCCTGACCACCCGATCCTCTTAGTCACCTCTTACAGCAAGCATGGGTTGCGGAAACACAACTAAAATCCGGATCTTCATGGGTCACAAATGCAGTAACATTAGTAAAACATTGTACATGGAGATACAGGGTTGTACACTGATAATTATATGACTTGTATCAAATTATATGATACAAGGAAAATTAGCTGAATAATGGCCAGAAATGACAGTTATACAGTCATGGCTGCCATGTCTAAGAAAGGGATAAGAAATCTGTGAGCATTATTATTGAGAATACCAAGATCATTCATACATTCCGCTCCATATGTCAATTAAAGACAAACAAACACAAAGGCCACTTGACTTTCAGTTAAAAAGTTAAAAAGCGTTTCGGGTCATGGTGTTGACATTTGAAAAATTCACTTTTCTTTCCCGTATTGCAACCTTGTAAGTTGAAGAAAGAGAAACAGACAGTTGCCTGTAGTTCCAAATATTTTCATAACAATATTTCTAGGTTTCATGTGGCATATTTTCACAGGTTCATTTTTCAGAAATGACTCTAATATATCTCATCTTTAAATCCATCCACCAGAGCCAAGATATTAATATGCCAGAGTGGAACTTTGTCACACATCAGTAAATAAAGATCTGAGAGACTTACCCTTAACATTGAGGAACACGCTTCTGACGATGGGGTGTTTGCCATGCACCCGGCATCGGTAGATTCCAGCATCCCTATATTTGACATTCTCTATCTGGAGGTTCCATGCTTTTCTGTCACCTTTCTTCAGAATACTGAACCTATCGTCTCTGGCCACGATGCGTCTCGCCTGCGTCAAGTATGCCTTCCCATAGATCCACATCACCTGGAAAAAGGAAACGGTAACTGATATACATTGTTTCAAGTTGGTCAGTGTGTTTGATAACCTGTTAAGATACCTATACAAAACATATTTTAGATACATCAGTGGAACATGTACACCACTGTGTCAGATAAATATTACAGGAAGGCCTGAAATGATTAAGTTCTTTCCGTTGTTGTTTCACATTTTTTGTGAAACTCATAACAGGTGCATGGTGCACTGCTTTTGGATAAAGGTGCGTATATTCAGGATATGAAACTCCCAAAAATTTCAGCCAGGCCACAGAGCTGGTTAGCTGTAAGACTTGCCAGCCCTGGCCAAAACTTACCTGGCCATGCACAAAATATCTTCATATACATGTCTAAATTTTAACCCAACAGTCTGGCAGGTGAATGTGAGAATCTGGCAGTCTGTGTTGAAAATAACCTGTCCTGGGCGGTCGGGCTGGCAGTTATTATAAACGCTGGTATATTGTATATATTAATTGTGATATGGCAGTTTGTGATGGGTAGTTATGTAGTTGGAATTCAAATCCTTGCTAAGCAGATCCTGCTGTAGTTAGAGGAGGCAACTTTACACAGGATGATGCATGATCACATTTTATTTCTCTTTGCTATATATTTAATGTGATGAGAAATCTCAAATAATAACACTCCTGCTCCTTCATGTTCGAAGACATCACGAGACATGAGCAAGCTCCCCACCTTGCTGTTTCCAAGATTTTCCACAGAGCAGGGTAGAACTGCTGTCTCCTTCTCCATCACTGTCACGTTCTTGGAGGTCTCCACAAACCGAGGCTCGGTGCTGCTTGGCCGCTCTGAAACAAAATGCTACATTTCACTTGAATGATATGATGGGTCCACTGTCATTGCTAGTGATGCATTTATTCACAATTAACATATAGTTAAACACATTTATTTTCAAAATATATATTTGTATAAGAAAGGTGTGACTATAGAAATATGGAAGAGATTTTTTCTCCCATGGATAACTGGAGAATGAAGGCAAACGTTTTCATAATCACATACATTTGCTTAATCTGTAACCCATCAACAATACGCAGACTCTTCCCAAATTCAGTATTTGTCAGTAACCATGGGAACCCTCCACAGACTAAAAGGGATGGACCATTAAATGTTCTGGGTGTTGGGGGTACTATTTCATTTTTTGAGACATGATATTTTTTAGTTCACACTTTAAAACAAAAAAGCTCTGAAAGAGTTACAAGTTACCAATTTGTGTTGTACACAAAACACATCTTTGGAGAAAGATTGTTTTATGAGAAATAATCCAAAGCGACCACCTGGGTATGGAATATAATACTGAACACATGCTGCTCCATAATGAATTTCATAATTTTGGAGTGTTTTGCATTTTGACATTGTTTCTCATTAAATAACAATATGTTCATAAGGCTGACGGACAGACCCAGTCTCACTACCAGCCAGGGATATCACGGATGCTTTATCTTAATTAATAAGTTAAAGTAGACCACATATTTGTGATTTTCCACAGTTTGAAAGATGCCACATGGCTGGAAGACTGGAACTGCTGGCAATGTTTCATGGGGCCTTGTTGCAATTAGGTGGCTGTTATTCTTGTTAGCTTTGTTCCAAACAATCCCTGCTGGAGCTGACCTAACAGTAAACATCTAGATAATGATCACATCAATATGTGTCCTAACTTTCACAGTCATGACTTTGCGATACATCAGGAAAAGAATAATGTTTTGGCCCAACTTGATGCTCAGTAAACTAAGTTTATAACACACACACTTGTAATGAAATACACATACAATAATATCAATACCATAATTATACAATATATGAAACTGTTTTCTTTTTGTCTTGGCAACTTGCGGTAAATTTAAGTTAAAATGCATATAACAAACTGTACATCTTATGCAAATATTTAATTGCACAGGTACGAAAATATGTAAGAGCCCTTTAATAATAAATAGATAGATAGATAGATAGATAGATAGATAGATAGATAGATAGATAGATAGATAGATAGATAGATAGACAGACATTGATAGAGGCATCCTATGCAGGGGCGGATACAGCTTTTTGAGAGGGGGGGTGCACACTATTGAGAAAAGAAGGGGTGCACACTTCATTTTCACCCGAGTTTCAATGGTCATTTAACAAACTTTCAGCACAAAAGGTGGTGTGCGCACCCCTGCACCCCCCTCTAGATCCGCCTATGCTGTGAAATATAGTATTGGAACAGGTCTCCAGCATAGTACAGCGGCTATAAGAGTGGACCAAAGGGATTGGGTGGGCTTGGACTGGACGGCATGGATTGTTTACACACAGTATTGGAATACTGGATTGCCTGGTCCTGACCAGAATTATTAAGAGCTTGCCATGACATAACTTTAACATTGTTGAGTGTGGCATCACATGACAAACAAAGACATATTTAGGCACAGGGTGGTGGGAGAGCCTAGTGGTTAAAGCGTTGGCTCATCACGCCGAAGGCCCGGGTTCGATTCCCCACATGGGTACAATTTGTGAAGCCCATTTCTGGTGTCCCCTGCCATGATATTGCTGGAATATTGCTAAAACGGCGTAAAACCATACTCAGTCAGTCATTTAGGCACAGATAGGTTGGGGAGTTGGAAGTGATGTTCTAACTAGCAGAGGCTCTCATAAAATCTACTGGTCCGACAACAAGGACACTGAGTGAGTACACATGAACCTTGCATTAGTCTGTTTGTTATATGCTGCATACAGTAATATTCCTGCTATATGACTGCAGTCTGTAAATAATCGAATCTTGATCAGAAAATCCAGTGATCGACATAAGCATTGATCTACTGAATAGGGATATGATGACATGTCAGCTAGCCTAACAACCTGATCCCATTAGTCGCCTCTTACAACAAGCATGGGTTGCTGAAGACCATTTCTAACCCAGGCCTTGCATTTGTAATTATAATGAATTAATATTATATGTGTGACTAGTGTTACAAATCAAAGGAGGAATAGGCTTGGGACAAGTGTCAGGCCTCAATCATGTGTTCCCTGGAGAGTATGTAGTACTGGGGACCAAGAGCTCCTGGAAATAACTGAGTACTTGTGAGCAGATGTTCCCTTGAGAGAATGAAGCACTTGGACAAAGTGTTCTCTTGAGAGTATGGAGATCTGGGACTGTTCTGGAGAGTCACCCAACTGGGTTTGAACATGGTGAATTATAGTTTTTCAAATATTAATTTCTTAGTTACCACAAGAAGATAACTTTTTCCTACCAGCACCAGATAATTTAATTGAAATATACCTCTATATAAGTATTTCCACTCACCAATGACATTTACAGTAGCCTCCGTCACCCCAAACCTGTTGGTGGCACGACAAGTGTAGGCTCCAAAGTCCTGCCTCTGTAGTGACCCAATCGTCAGAGTCAAAATAGCCGTCATGTTGTCCACGTCTTCAATGCCGATGTTATATTTTTCTCCTGTTGGTATATCCGAACTGTTCAGCGTCCACATCATCAACTCCTGGGGGTATCCAAAGATGGTGCAGGACAGCATGATACTGTCCCCGATTGACTTGGTCATGCTCTCCACTGACACCTCGGCCACAGGAGGATCTGCAAGATGGACACATAGAATAACAAGGTGTTTTGTCCAATGTTGCTGGACAAAATGTTAGTTTATTGGCCACTGCAACAAGACTTTGGGTATAAGTAGCAATTACCCTACGCCTGTCACCAAATTATGCCCGTCAAGACATTAGAATCTATGGGGAAACGTAGCCTTTCATAATAAAGAAGCTGTATATCCATAAAAAGTCTCATCATTCTTCGTCACCCAAAATTCTAAAATGTCCATCAAGGAAAGGACATTTTGGTTCAGGTTTTACATCAAAATATTGGACACCTTCAATGAATGTCCTTAAGAATTATGTTATGGAAAACATAAATTTGGCTTGAACCCCCAAAATCTGTTCCACCTCAAAACATGAATGAACAGTGTATGATATAACATCTACTCACTGCCCACGTGTAGTGTGACAGTCTTGACCATCTGTTTGGGTGTGTTGACCTGACACATGTAGGTTCCAGAATCAGCTTCAGTCACATCGCTGATGACCAGATCCCAACTGTGTGCCATCGACCGCTCAACATGAAGACGGTCATCGTCAGACGTCCGCGAGTTTCCAAACGTCAGGACATTCGAATCCTCATCCAGCCAGGACACCTGCAGGACAAAGCAGAAGGATTAATCTTTAATCCTGCTCTGGATGATTTCAGGGCTGAGCTTTGAAAGATTTTACATGCAGACTTCTATATCCTGTATTAAGGAAGTAACAAAATTCACATGAAACAGCACAGCAGGGGAACACGTGATACAGATTATTTTTGTTGTTCAGTTTTGGTCTCAGAAATAATTTACATGTACATATTTTTATTGACTGACTGACCAAATATGAACCAGTATCTTATACAGAAAATATCGCCTGACTGTCTTGTCATATGAAGTATATCAAGTGGACAATAAATGTAAAAACATTTTTGAGTGTGTTTAGTTTTACGTCGCTTTTAGCAATATTCCAGCAATATCACTGCGGGCGACACCAGAAATGTGCTTCACACATTGCATCCATGTGGGGAATCAAATCCAGGTCTTCGGCATGACAAGCAAATGCTTTAACCACTAGACTACCCCATCGCCCCTTTTTCAGAGGTGTATTGATATGTTTGGTACAAGACAAGAACAGAGGTACAGATAAACTGCGTATCTGCATAAATTACGCAAATATTTATGTGAAAACTCATTTCCTATTAAGTCTATTGCCTACAAGTACGCTTCAATTTTTCTAAATACTCAATAGATTTGATGTTACATGCGTACAAACAAAAATAGATAAAATAACTGAGGTATATTGAGTGTTTCTATTTCAGCACCTGGACTTGGCAACTTGCAGTCTTTCTTATCGTTTCTCAAATAACAGATCAAATATAAATAACAAACACGTAAACCAACATTTAAACTTTAATATATTTTTACAATTAATGGAAAATGGCAAAATACCATTTTGAGTGAGGTGGGTACAATATGTTTGGTTATCAAAGGAAAATTAGGATACCCAGTTAAGATGAACACATGCGAGTACATAACTCAATGACCCAAAAAGTTATCTGTAGCTCTGCAAGAAGATGAGATTCCATTTATCATCCAACATTTTATTCCAGTTTCAGTCTGTAAACAATAATAAGAAGTTTCTGAAGTGTAGAGGTACAGCTAAGAAATTAGTGATGTTGTTTAATTGTGATAACATGGTCACCTATGATGTCCCAATGGTCTAATCAGTGTTGTGATGTAATTTCATGGGGATGATATCTCCAAGAGGAGTTCTCTTGATCTCACGGAACTAATATCACTTCTGGATGATAAATACTCTAATCAAGGTGAGAAGATGTTGTTTCTAGAGTACATGGTGTGCATTAATGGTACATAAACCAGTCTGTGGACAGTGAATAAGTTGGGTTTAACTCCTTTTGGGGAGTATTTCACATGTAGTGCTCAAATGACATTACCGAAGAGTAAGTTAAGATTTTACGAAATAATACAACCATATAGCAATGAAAACAAGGTAATCACTTTAAAATATGTAACTGAAGACCTGATTCTTTCATATTACCATAGTTAATCATGACATGACAGATTGAAATAGCCAGGTGCTCTTTAAATTCCTTTAACTAGCAGATATCACAACATGACAGTGTGTGGAAATCTCAGCATGATGTAGATCTTAGGGGACTCGGACTCAAACCCAGAACAGTGTTCTATAGTAAGCATCGCCATGACTTCAGGTAAAACTGACAGTCTACCAAACCATGAGGACCAGTGTAGCCTGGCAGCTGAGCTTAAAACATCTAACTTTGCAAATGAAGTTGTGGCTTCAAGATTCGCAGAGCTGTGACATCAAAGGAATGAGTCATCTGTATATTTCAGGGCCTAAATTTTTGAAGCTCTCTTGGGGTAAGAGAGTCGTTAGTTAATGTTAATGCATGGCACTTATGACTATATTAGCGCTAAGAGAGCTTCGAAAATCTAGGCCCTGGTGTTTTCAATAATCACCGCCTTTGTTTTGATATTTAGATATCTTTCCAAATTAAATAACAACTTTCCTCTTGCATTCAAAATTATTTCTAAATTATTTGTCTTTAAGTATAGTCAAAGAATTGAATTAACATTTTTTCTTGCTTTCTAGATATCAGACGGTCACATCACTTGAAATTGTTTTAACTTGAAATGATCATCAGTAAAACGTACTAAAACTAGGTGAATGTTGTGTTGTTGGGAGTCAGACATGGACATTCCATCCAGTCTGTGAGGGATTCCTGACAGCTATATTGGTGTACACCTTCGGCTGTGGAATGTGCTCATTATACAGACCAAGTGTGTGAAGACCATTCCCCTGTAATGCCGATGGTCATGTTTCGCATGGGCGAACAACAAGTATCAACAACTCTGCTTGTTACAGGTCAATACATCAACACAAACACAGGTTCAGTCAGTGTATGAAATAAGGCCCGTCTGACCACCCGAGATGGTCTAGATTTCTGACAGACGGTCTAAATTTACAGCTAGCCAGCCCGATGGTCTGGTAAATATTTTAGATGTTCCATACATCTGAGTAATTTCACCATATTTGGTCTGGTTAAATCCATTTTGGGCTGGTAACATTTTGAAGTTACCAGCCCTGATGTCTGGCTGGATTTTTGGCTTATTTCATACACTGGTTCGGTCTACACTGAATGGGGTTTAATGTCATACTTAAGAATATTTCGCTCATTTGATGACTGCTTGTACTAACCCAGACTGAAGATGGTTTTATAGTGCTAGTTCACTGAGATACCATGCCACAGTTAAGCATGAATACCCCACTCAGACACATTATACTGACTCCGAGCTGACCAGTCCTCGTTGTGCCCATTAATGCTGAGCGCCAGGCAGGGACCAACAAGTACCATATTTTAACGTCTTTTGGTATGATGCGGCTGGGGATAGAACCTGCGACCTTCCGCTCGCTGGGCGGACGCTCTAACCACTACACCACGGAGACGGCCGACAAGACTTAGAACAGACTACAAGCAGTTTCTGTTCATAGAAAACATAAACATTGGAAAACATCTGAGATGTACTTTTCCCCTCATCTGTGCTGATTGAGAAAAACCTCTGGTGACAATCTAGACCTGTAATGCTTAAAAATATACTTTGGGTTTGAGTTTTACTTGATTTATCTTTATCTGCTTGTTATGCTATATGTTCTGAAAACTATGAGATATGAAAAGTGAAAATCATGTTTCCTTTTTCACAGAAAACTATCATGCAAAGTTACCGAATGAAAAATCCAAGCAACACCTAGTCCCCGATCTCTCATCCCAAACAGTTGTCTCATGTTATAAAATTAAACTACAAAGATGTCACTTTTGGTTGATTGCCAAATGTTAGTTCTGGTTCCATGAACTAAAAGATAAATGATGTTCAGTAGTTTTAATATCCCAAATCATCAAAGGGCACCAGATCACCACTTGACTGATGTGTACGGCAAGTTCGTATCAAGAAATGTTCAAAGGTTTTGGAGTTCTGCACTGAAATGAGCACTACCATCATATTCATAAAAGTCCCACTTGCTGTCATGAAATAAAAGAAAAAAGAAAACTATATATCTCAAACCATCAAAAGGCAGCATTTCATAACAAGACTAATCTCTTTCAAAGGTTTCACCCAGAAATATTCAAGAGTTTTGGAGTTCTGATCCATAAACAAGCATTTGTAGTTGTCATGAAAAAAGTATACAGCTATATCTATCAATACAAAACATTTTCAAAAGGCACCCATACCACTTTGTATCGCAAGTTTCAACAAGAAATATTGAACAGTTTATGAGTTCTCCAGAAACCGAAAACAGACAGACAGACACACATAGCTGTCAACCCAAAATGTGTCCAAGAAGTGAGAACCATTAAAAAGCAGGTGTCCAGGTACCTTTCCAGTCCAGATGGAAGTGTTCCAAATCTGTTTTATCAAAAGTGAAAGTGTGTTAAGTTAAGTAACATTGACGTCATTGAGTTTAACAGTTGAGGTAATATTTAACACTGCAGTGCCAATACTGCAGCCATATTGGTCAGAGGATGCCGTAATGCTAAAAGAGACATGTGATTACAGCTCATGACTTTCTCATGTATACAGTTTTGAAAATAATACTTGAAGAACAAGTTTCGGCAAACATGAATTTTTCTGGACACTTATCCATGTATTTGATGCTAATTGTATAGCCACATTAAAATTCAATATAATTTAACCATAGGGATATAAAGCTAAAATAAACACAAATATTTACTTGCCCTATTTTTGTATAGTTTAGTATGATTAAACCTTGAAATATCAAAGCAATTAATAAATACTGAAAATTGGACAATTAAAGTTGCATAATGGCACGTCATAACCTCATCAGTCACATCCCTTGAGGCCACATTTCAACACATAGTATTGTTTATTAAGCTTGGCAAGTAAAAATTACATTTACTAATGAAAGCATTTAAATCAAGCCATTTTATCAGACAAACACCCAACTGTTATTTTAGTGAGGCAGCTAAAAATGCCATCTAAAAAGGAATCTGCACATCCTTTACCAAAATGGTGGAAAGTGTCAAGTAGAATGTGTGAAGACTATATTCAAAACTGGCCAAAAAATCGGTCTAACTTCCTCTGGCCTAAAGTTTTGTATGAGTTTCCAATCCTACAATAGATGCACAAAATGAGATGAATGCAAAAAAAACCCAGCAGCTGTAACACGATCATACATCTGCATGATGACTCAGGCTGATCTATCATCTTACATTACCAGGGAGCATCTTAGAATCATTCAGGAAAAAAGTGACAGGATAATTTAAAAGTATTTTTTGTTATTTAATAGATACAGAAGAATATATCACACCATTTCTGTGAAAGAGTGAAAAACAGACATTTGGGGATCATTTTTTTGGACATAACTTTTGAAAAAGGAATTTTTTTCTGTAACCATCTATCCTGGAATTTGGGATACTGGGGTTACTTGACCCAGGAACTATTGGGGAGGTAGGGTGGGGGACACAGAGAGTGGGGAGGGAGGTGGGAGGGGAGGAGATGACTCCCACAATTAGGTGTGTCAGAGGGAGCACCTGCCATGCCACTCTCCCAGGAACCATTAAATAGCCGTATTTATTGACTACAAGTGCTCTGTACCACCCAGCTGGCGCTGATAACGGTATAGTTCAGAATGCTTGTTCCTCAGTTGGATATCCATCAAGGCACTGACCAACAGTAGCTGTTCCCGACCTTCAGAATCACAAAGGTCATGTAACCAGTCACTTATGGCTGATAGGATGGATCATTTGGAGATTATACAAATGTGTTGGTTCTCAGATGTTAATTGATCAATAAACTAATCTTGTTCAATAAATTAAACTGGAATCCTTATTGAATAAGCACACAAAATTGTTAACTTAAAGAATTTCTTTGATGAAATATTTGTTTAACTGATTCTATAACAATAAATGGATCCAAACGAAGAATTCAATTTTAAATTTTATTTTTGATCTTTCAAATAAGTTCAGTGACCTTTAGTTTGACTTAAGTTATGAATTGAGAGACAAATGTTATTTTATTTCATTCTTTTCACTTCACCTTACCACTGTTACCTTTTATTTGGGTATTACTTAAGACATTTTATTCTTTTCGAAATATTTTGTTTCAAGCTTAAACTGGACACAATGTTTCACTTGATTTATCATGAAATCAAGCAATGAAGTCACATGTATATTCTAATATTGCTGACTCCACAAAATGAGTCACTGGTATTTGGTCCCCTTTGAAACAGCTGAACAGTCTGAGAAAAATCATGTATGTGTGAACATTTAATTTCAAAATATTTTCTCAGTCCTATTGCAGCCAGGGTTTTTTCATCATCAACTTAATGAATTAGGAATACCACTTTTTAACTGTAATCTATTAAACATATTTTATGTACCTTGTATTTCCCCAAGGACTGAACTGTGCAGGGTAGAGCTACTGTAGAGCCTGGTGACGCAGAGATGTTCTGAGTTTTGGCATCAAATGATGGTGTAACAGAACGTGGTGCTGAAACAGACATTAATAACATAGAATGTTCTGAGTTTTGGCATCAAATAATGGTGTAACAGAATGTGGTGCTGAAACAGAGATTAATAACATAGAATGTTCTGAGTTTTGGCATCAAAGATGATGTAACAGAACATGGTGCTGAAACAGACATTAATAACATAGAATTTTCTGAGTTTTGGCATCAAATAATGGTGTAACAGAACGTGGTGCTGAAACAGACATTAACAACATAGAATATTCTGAGTTTTGGCATCAAATAATAGTGTAACAGAACGTGGTGCTGAAACAGACATTAACAACATAGAATGTTCTGAGTTTTGGCATCAAATAATGGTGTAACAGAACGTGGTGCTGAAACAGACATTAACAACATAGAATGTTCTGAGTTTTGGCATCAAATAATGGTGTAACAGAATGTGGTGCTGAAACAGACATTAACAACATAGAATGTTCTGAGTTTTGGCATCAAATGATGATGTAACAGAACGTGGTGCTGAAACAAACATTAACAACATAGAATTAGATCGATTCCAGGATATGTTGTTCTATAAAGTTGTTGCAATATTCCAGATATATTATGGAGGGGGGACACCAGAAATGAGTTTTATACATTGTACTCCTGTGGGGAATGTTTGAAACACTTTCACCACTGGGCCACGCCACCGCCCCTTGAATTTTCCAACCTTAAAAGAATCCATTATAAAGATGACTGTTTTCTATAGCTTTAACTACCCGTTAAAGTCCAGGTTAGAATATTGATCTTCAGTAATCCATGCTTGTCATAAGAGGCAACTAACGTGATCGGGTGGTCAGGCTTGCTGATTTGGTTGATACATGTCATCGGTTCCCACTTGTGCAGATCGATGCTCATACTGTTGATCACTAGATTGTCTGGTCCAGACTCGATTATTTAGAGACCGCCGCCACATAGCTGGAATATTGCTGAGTGCAGCGTAAAACTAAACTCACTCCCTCACTCACTATAGCTATATCACATGTAGATCACATGCCTTCATACAATTGGGGATTGCCTGTGGTTCTTTTTTTTCTCTGGGTTGGTGCCTATGTTAGTTATGTGTTGTCTAACCAGTAATGAAGCCCATTGCTCATATTATCAATTACTGATTTGGCTGGTCCAGACTTGATTATTTACAGGCTGCAGTCATATAGACTGAACATCTCTGACTGCAGAGTTAAACAAGAAAACATGTGAGTCTGAGAGTTATCTCCCCTTTCTCTTGGCATGATGCCAGGTGATATATTGTTGAAAACCCAGCAACTTGAATGAAAACATGAATACAGAAACCGAACAGAGTATGAATACGTTTGTGTCATTCAGTGAATAGAATGTGACAAGTAAGAATTCAGCTGGCACCTTTACCCAAATATCAGCTTAAACATACACCATGTCATGAATACGTTTGTGCCATTCAGTGAATAGATTGTGAGTTGTAAGAATTCAATAGGCACCAGCTTAAACATACACCATGTATTGTCAGTTATTAATCTAATTGGAGCTAAAACTTGTATAAGATTTGAAATTCCTCACCCATCAGTTTGATTGTAGCCATGTTGGTGCCAAACCCATTGACAGCCTTGCATTGGTATTGCCCATAGTCACTCTCCTGATCTTCTTTATCCTGAGCCTCATGACGGTGTTCATCTTTCCTTTCTTGAGTGTCTCCATGGAGTGCCTCTTGTCAGACACCACCGTCTCCTCTCCTTTATACCACTCCACCAAAGGCGCGGGCTTGCCACTCACCAGGCACTCCAGCTTCACCTTCTTTCCTTTTGGTTTGGTCACTTGACCCCGTGCTGCCTTTATTGATGGCAAGACTGTCAACAGGAAGGAGAACAGTTATTATGGCCATTAATGTTTGATTACTTGATTTTCAGATTCGTTTTGTTACATCATTGCTACTTACCAAACTTACTGTTGATAGAATATAAAGGAAGAACAGAAAAGATATTTGTTTCTGCTAAATATTTATATCCCTTGTTGGTCAAGACTTTTCTATTTTTATCAATGTTAGATTTTCCGCGCAACTAATGCTCCTTAGTAGATAATTGTGGGATATTTCCAAATTCCTGTTGTTTGATATGTATATCAGATTTTCCACACAACTAATGTTTAATAGTTAAACTGAGTGTGGTGGTTTCCAAACAACTAATGTTTGGTATACAAATTGGAATTTCCACACAACTAATGTTTGATACTTGATTTGATGTTATGCATGCGAAACTCAGATAAGCTAAACACCAGTAACAAATTCTATAGTCATGTAACAATAACTTCACCAGCTACCAGTATCAAGGCAGGTTACAGGGTACAAAGATCTTCTCTCCCAGCAAGACTTAAGTGAAGAGACACATTACAAAATAACACACAACACAAATGCATTTGTTTTTTCATCCTGTTTTTCTTCCAGTGTACCTTTCACCAAGACCGAACTCTAAACTCCACCCTTAACTTTAACAAAGAAGGAACCATCAGATAAAACTATCACTCAAGTTCAGAATGTTTTCTTAATTCTCATCTTCATCATCGACTCAGCAGCTTGTCTTGTTCCGAGCACCTCGTGTTTATATTACTGTCAGCCTCAGCAGCATCTTTCACACAGGGAGGATATGACCCCACCCTCCCTCTACTACCCCCTCCGCTACCCCCTCCCTCCTTCCCAACACCTCTGACATTCACGGTTTGTGTAACAGGCCCTGTGTACATGACACCAAGGTTATGCGAGAGTCCGATAACCAGATGCAACGGTGCTTCTATAACAACCAGCCCAGCTCCACGAACACCTGGTGTTGATAATTACCCGGAGGAGACTCTCAGAGACTCACAGAAAATAACGAGCAATGCCTCTCCTCATATTTCACTGTAAAACAGGCTCTAGAAGATCGTTGTGAACATGAAATTGATTATTTTAACTGTGGTATATGGGAGATATTTTTTGCATGGTGTTGATGACTTAAGTAGGCTTGAGAATATCCTTTTGGAAATGAAACAGATTTATCATATATGTGATTTATCTCAAATGCTTTTTCTAATTACTAAAATCAGGCCTATTAATACTGTGCTGCCAGTTATATCATAGTGTGTGGGTTTTTTTGCATTTTGAGACTTGATATATGTGAGGGCTTTGCAGGTGCGATATTAATCAAAATTGTTAGAGGCTCTATGGACCTATTAGAGATACACATCCCTGTCACTCAGTGATACAGACAGACAGGCAGCGATGAAACTGGAAAATGCATGAGTGAGGTGCCTTGCTGGTAGGTTCACCGTTGTTTGTCACGGATAACATATGAATATACCAGATATGTAATAATAAGAGTCACAGTGCTGAAGACAACGATCTTGCTTCTATATATATTTGGGATATGAATATCATTTCACTCAAAATTTGAAAGGATTGCTATATTATTCAAAATGTGATAGGGATCTCCACATATCTGATATTGCTTTACTCCAAATAAGATTGGGCCACCAAGACATTGCTATACCACTCAAATCTTGATAGAGATATCCAGATATTGATATCCTTATACCATCTTATGATGGGACATCAAGGTAAATGATGTGAATACACTGACTTTGATGGAAATATCTTGATATTTGGAAGTAATAGACTACCATTTGATCATAATTGATATTAGGATAGCATATTAAGTTTCATGGAGATATCAAGAATAGTTATATCAATGTCCCATCTCAGGTCTGAATGAGATAAACAAATAACTGGCACTGTTATATGACCTTAGGTTTGATGAATATCAAGATATGTGATATCAATAGATTATTCACAGATAACCAGATGATTCATAGTGTTATACTATCTTATGTTTGATGGATAATATGTTTAACTATATGATTTTCTAAAACTACCCTGGATTGATGGAGATATCGGATTATTTAATATCATTGTACTATATTATGTTTGATGTCAGTATCAAGATATTTGATATTCCCTTAACGCTAAAGGTCTGAAAATTCCATCTCTTGGAAAGAAATATCAAGGTTGAATGCATCTGTGACATAAATTATTTTGAGACACTGTTGGGTAATGGTGATTTTTGGCTATTCTTGTTGGATGTACACCTTCTTCTTTGAAAGATGTTCCAGTCTTTTGTCTGGTAGGATGATTGAGATTTGTAACAGTGTGTTTAAAGAGGAAAACACCCCAATTAGTCTGTCATACAGACCCTGAAGCAAATATATCAAAGAAAGCGCAAGTCTAGAAAATGTGGCAAGTCTAGATTTCTGAAAATGAAGAAAGTTTCAGGGCTCCTTTTCATCATATTTTATTATTTTTACTATGAACGTTTTTTCTGTAAAATATGATCATTTCAGAGACTAGTTGTTAGTTTACACCCCAATAAATAATTAATAAAATTATTAATCGTACTCTAACTGATAATCTAGTGCCCCATGGTCTGTGATGGAGGAATCAGCCTTGATTGATGTTCCTTTCATCTGATATGGAGGATGAACGTGATGATACTTACATCCCACATTGAGAGTGACGGCCTTGGTGAGTGGAGGGTTGGTGTTTATGACGCAGTTGTACGTGTCCTCGTCGTCCAACACCACGTCCGAGATCTGCAACATCCACTCCCCAGGATTCTCACGCATCAGAGAGAATCGGTTGTCGGATGTCTCTCTTGCATCACCCGTTGTTAAAACACCTAACTTCCCACTTTCCCACGTTATCTGGAAACAAGGGGTTTCAGCTAGAGAAAACAGCAACGACACTATTGGTCATCCGTCATCAACTTGACAGACAGACTAGATCACCTGTCATCAACTTGACAGACTAGATCACGTGTCATCAACTTGACAGACAGACTAGATCACCTGTCATCAACTTGACAGACAGACTAGATCACCTGTCATCAACTTGACAGACAGACTAGATCACCTGTCATCAGACTTGACAGACAGACTAGATCACCTGTCATCACCTTGACAGACAGACTAGATCACCTGTCATCACCTTGACAGACAGACTAGATCACCTGTCATCACCTTGACAGACAGACTAGATCACCTGTCATCAACTTGACAGACAGACTAGATCACCTGTCATCACCTTCACAGACAGACTAGAGCATCTGTCATCACCTTGACAGACAGACTAGATCGCCTGTCATCAACTCGACAGACAGGCTAGATCACCTATCATCAACTTGACAGACAGACTAGATCACCTGTCATCAACTTGACAGACTAGATCACCTGTCATCACCTTGACAGACAGACTAGATCACCTGTCATCAACTTGACAGACAGACTAGATCACCTGTCATCACCTTGACAGACAGATTAGATCGCCTGTCATCACCTTGACAGACTAGATCAACTGTCATCAACTTGACAGTCTAGATCACCTGTCACCAACTTAACAGACTAGATCACCTGTCATCAACTTGACAGACAGACTAGATCACCTGTCATCAACTTGACAGACTAGATCACCTGTCATCAACTTGAGACAGACTAGATCACCTGTCATCAGCTTGACAGACTAGACTAGATCACCTGTCATCACCTTGACAGACAGACTAGATCACCTGTCATCAGCTTGACAGACTAGATCACCTGTCATCAACTTGACAGACAGACTAGATCGCCTGTCATCAATTTGACAGACAGACTAGATCACCTGTCATCAACTTGACAGAGAGACTAGATCACCTGTCATCAGCTTGACAGACAGACTAGATCACCTGTCATCAACTTGACAGACAGACTAGATCACCTGTCATAACCGTGACAGACAGACTAGATCACCTGTCATCACCTTGACAGACAGACTAGATCACCTGTCATCACCTTGACAGACAGACAAGATAATAATAATAATAATAATGATAATGTGTCCATTTATATAGCGCAAAACTCCACACTAGGTATGCTCATAGCGCTAACAATCAAGGCCATTATTACCCCGGATAACCAAAGCTGCCTGTTAGGCGCTAGAAGGTTATAATCATATGACTTTTTTCCACCGGGTACCCATTTTCCTGCTGTGTTAACAGAGACAATTTTGAACAAACTCACTTGCCTAAGGTGAGACCACATGTGTCACATGTGCTTGTGGGGCAGGACTCAAGTCCTAGAAACTCTCAGGAGTCAAGCTGCCAAACACGGTCACCCATCCAAGGATTGTCCGAGCTCGACGCTGCTTAACTTCACCGATTTGTGACCTGAGCTTTAAGCACAGGACCACGCGCCACCACCAAGATCACCTGTCATCAACTTGACAGACAGACTAGATCACCTGTCATCAGCTTGACAGACAGACTAGATCACCTGTCATAACCTTGACAGACAGACTAGATCGCCTGTCATCACCTTCACAGACAGACTAGATCGCCTGTCATCAACTTGAAAGTGACAGTATATATCACCTATGATCAACTACAATGACACAATAGCTCAGTTATCAACTGCATTGACACTTTAGATCCAATGTCATCAACTGCATTGACACGTTAGATCCGATGTCATTAACTGCATTGACACGTTAGATCCGATGTCATCAACTGCATTGACACGTTAGATCCGATGCCATCAGCTGAAGTGAAACGTCAGACCCATGCCATGAACTGAAGTAACACGTCTGATCCGTTGTCATCAACTGAAGTAAAACGTTAGAT